ATGCTCTCTTCAACAGCATAAACACTAATATTGGAACAATACTAGCAAAAATGGTAGACCAATTTGCAAATTCTTCAAGCTTGTAATATCTTCTACATCTTGAATCACGTCCTCACAAATAGCTAGTAACTCATTAAAATTCTCTGGTTTGCTCCTCAGCCTAGGACAGGACAGTGAAGGAGTGAGAATGAGAACAATCTCAATGGAAACAGCCTTTGGACTCTGACTCTCAGGTAGGAGAATTCCCAGGACCTGAAACAATCAACCCCTTTTCCTTCCCAAATAACATCCCAAGTGGCTCATGTAGTGTCTTCAGAGACATTAACATGTGTCTGAGGTCATTATTGGGGTGCTCGCTGCTTCTCTACTTGGTGGCCTGAGTACAGCTGCTGCTGTTGTCCACCCTGGTTGACCCCAACCTTTGATCCCTACCCTGTCCCATCATGGCCCACATTGACTTTATAGTGCCTTCTCCCAACCTAGAACTGCCCCAGTGCTCACATGGAGGTGGGAGTTTTCTCTCACACTACAAGTAGTATATTACAGTTCTTTTATTTGACTCTCAAGAGAGTATTACTATCTTACAGCCCTTTCTCTTTCAAAAAATGTGAGACCAGTTCCCCTGGGACTGGGTCAGAGACATTTGAGAGATACCTCTAGAGGCAAACGTAGTAGAAATGAACTCGGATGCAAAGCCCAGGGAGCTCCCTTCTGACATACTGATTGTGTGTGTTTGTGTGTGTGTGTGTGTGTGATTAACACTAAATTTTCCTGATTCCCTTTCCACAATTCTTTTCATCACACCATGTTAACAACAACAACAACAAAGATAACAATATCAACTCACATTTAATGAGTACTTACTATGTGCCAGGCACTGTACTAAGTGCTTTATATGTATCATCTCATACATAATTTTGGGTGGAGGAATAGATTTTAGGCAAATAGATGTAGGCACCCATCATGGAATGGGTGAATTTCGGGGACAAGATTTGAAGGAACTGTTAAAGTTTTATTAAGAAGCTGAGTAAAGATATGAAAGGGGAAGGTAAAAGCAGAACAGGGTCAACAAAATGTGAGGATGTGTGTGAGTGAGAAGAATGGCAAAAAATAGATCAAAGAGCCAAGCACAGGGAGAAGTAGTAGCCCATGGGGATTTGAGGATGCTGAAATCAAAAGTGATCAAAGGAAGTTGATATTATCACCATTTGTGAGTGGAGTTCTTTCCAAGTTTCAGAAGTAAAATTAATGTTCTATTTTGACATAGCAAACACACCAGCTCTTGGGGCCACATTGACTAAAATAAAATACATCAGGCTCTTTTAATGGTCTTAGTGGTAGCTCTAAAGGGTTAGTTATTATCTGTTAAATATTTGAATAGAGCATTTTTCTGGAATAGCCACAGGAATACTCCTTTGCGTATGTGTAGAGGAACCAATCTGAAAGCTCTGTCTGCAGTGAAAGCCACAGGGTAATGCTTCATCCTGGGCAACACTGTGTTGACAATGTGGTCTGCATCCAACCTGGCTGCAGAGACAGACGGGCTTTTAGCCAGGCACATTAGGAAATTCCTGATGACCAGTCAGAGGGAGCCTATAAGGGGATTCTGTGTGTGTGTTATTAAGTCTGACATGGAGGAGCATGAGAGGCAGGCAAATGACGTGTGCTCATCAGTCGACCAGGCTCAATCGAAAACCTGACACCGAAGAGAAGAGTGGGAGAAATCTCCACATTCTCACAATAACCAAACCCCATCAATTATCCCCTCTTTGGCCTCCATCTTCAACCACACTACTGGCTTCTTCTCCTCATTACAATCACAAATTTCCCCAATCTTTAAAAACTAGCCAAACAGTCACAACAGAACAACTCTTCCTTCATGCTTTCATGCTACTCCTTCTCTACTGTTGGGAATGATTGTCTACACTTCCTGCTTCCACATTTGCACCTCTCACTCACATCTTAAGCCACTGTTCTCTGGTTTCTTCCAACCACCATTTCAGGTAAACAGTTCCCAACAATGTCACCAATGCTTCTCAATCACTAGACTCAATGGACCCATCTCCTTCCTTATCTTACTTGACCTCCCTGTGGCATCTGTCTGGACAGATCCCTTCTTCCGGAAATTCTTTAATTCTTTGGTTCTTATAGCACTACACGTCTCTTCTTTTTTTGCCTGACCCTTAAATGTTGGTGTTACCTGGCTCCATCCTTGGCCACTCCTTTTCTCATTCAACACAGTCTCCTGGGAACCTCCCTCATGGTCTCAGCCACCACTTGTATATTGATGTCAGTCAAATCTCTATGTTCAGCCTTGACTATTTCTCTAAGCTGTATATCAGCTTCCACTAAACATCTCTTTCTGGATGCCCCATGGAAATCTCAACACACAAAACCACTCATGATCTCATCCCCAAATTGCCCATTCTTCATGGATTTCCTCACCTTGGTGACTGTCAAAACTAATCATCCTGTTGCTTAGGCCAGAAACCAGGGAATGGTTTTGATTCCTCCTTCTTCCTACCCAGTTGCCACCCAATGAGTCAGCAAGCCTTGTCTCAGCCCTTGTCTTCTCTCTCCTGGTGAGAGCCCCTCAGCTGAGCTCCTGCCTCTAGACTCTCATCCTCAAATCCAGCTCCACACTGGCCACCAGAGTAATCTGTCTAAACCCAAATCATGATCATGTCTCTCCCCTGCTTAAAGTCCTCCCATGGCTTCCAACTGACAATCTTTCCCCTCACATTTCTCCCCTCTCTCCTATTTCTACCCTATGCCCACAAGGAAGCTGGACCACAGGGGGCAAGCAGCCAACAGCTAGGACTTTGACAGCTAGTCAGCGGGATTTGTGTTTGACATAAGAGGATATAGGAACCATTCACAGGTTTCACAAGCAGGGCATGATGGCATGATGACATGATGACAGGTACACATGACAGGTCCTAGAAGTGGGAGACACGTTAGCAGACTGCTATGGACTGAATGTTTGTGTCCTCCCAAAATTCATATGTTAAATCCTAATGCCCAATGTATTTGGAAGTGGGGCCTTTGGGAGGTGATTAGGTCATGAGGATGGAGCCTTCATAAATAGAATTAGTGCCCTTATAAAAGAGACCCCAGAGAGTTTCCTCACCCTCCTCCCCCTCCCACCTTGTCTAAGGACACAGAGAAAAGACTGTCATCTATGAACCAGGAAGTGGGCCCTCACTAGACAACAGAATTGCCTCAGCCTTGTTCTTGGACTTCTCAGCCTCCAGAACTGTAAGAAATAAATTTCCGTTGTTTCTAAGTCACGCAGTCGATGGTATGTCGTTATAGCAACCCAAAGGGACTAAGACACCGGCTATTACAACTGAGGCAAAAGAACCTAGACTAGTCTTCTACAGTGAGAAAAGAGGAAAAGATGAACCTGTAGGACTGGTGAGAAGGGTAGATAATCTAAAAAAAAAAAAATCAAGAGATGCAAGTAGTAAGGAAATGCATCAGTAGCTAATGTCAAGCACTATTAACAAAGTAAACAGTCCACAGGAAGTCTAGACTTTAAAGCCCCATTATTGGAAGCCCAGCACCAAGGAACAAAAGCAGGGGTACACACACACACACACACACAATTCTACAGGGCAAGCGAAGGAGGCAGATGCTTGAAGAAACTGTAGCTTCTATAAAAGGGAGACAGGGCAGGAAAGTCTAGAAGAGGGGACAGACCCCAACAAGAACTGTCCTTGTGACAAGATGAAAGCCACAGAAAGTCAGCTACACTCAGGAGATGCGCCAGCTGAGCTCTTCAAGATGGGCTTCAGGATGATGCAAGAAGCAGCATTCATTCATTCATTGGGCAGATTCAAAAAAACGTTGTCCAAAATGTTGCCAGGATTGGAAACAAGTGACCTGTTGGAATAAGTCTCTTTGACAAAACTACAGGCCTATAAGACTCAGGCATAAAGGACAACCGCTTACAGAGTTGGAGTCATGTAGATCCATGTTCGAATCCTAGCTGGGCCGTTAGGCAAATGAGACAACCTCCCTCGACTCCGGTTTACATAGCTTGCCCTGGGTGGATCGCACTGTATCGTCAAGGGCAGACCTGGGGCGAGAACCTGCAAGGTCACTGACTCCGGATTGGTGCTCTTTCCAGCAGCCCAATGCTCAGGGCAGCGGGTCCCCTCCCCTGGGGGCCGCAGCCGACCCCCAGGCCTGCAGCGCCTTTGTGCCCCACTCACCGGAGAGCACCCGCAGAAGTGGCCCGCGGGGGGCAGCCGGGCCGGGGGCGAGTCAGCGGGAGGTGGGCGTGGGCCCTAGGGGCGCCGATGGGAGCACCCCCAGTGTGGCGCGGACGGACGGGGAGGGGGGCGGCCAGGTGGTGATCGGCCAGGCTGCGGCTAGCAGCTCGGGGCCAAGAACAAAAGAGAGCGGGCGGCTGGCGTCCCCCGGAGAGGGAAGACGCACCCACTGCCCGCCCGCCCGCCCGCCGAGCAGCCGGGCTGGCGCGCTCGGTTTCTCCGCGAAAGCTGGCCGTGTACCTAGGAATTAACCGGCCGGCGCGGGAGGGGAGGGAGCGGGAAGCGGGGCGGGGGGATGCTGAGCGCGCGCGAGAACAATAATAAGATCGTGTTTGCGGTCGCTGCCCGAGGAGGAATTCGGAGGAGGCGCGAGGCCCGGCGCTCGCGCCGCGCCCGGAGCCCGGGAGGGAGGCCGGCGGCGGCATGAGGCAGGCGACGCGGCGCCTGTGAGCAGCGC